TTAAATGATTAAGAAACACTAAAATATGAGTGAGCTTTATTTGAGCATTCAGTGATTCAGTAAATCAGGTGGTAAAATAATCATTGATTCATATCATAAATATGTATGCCACCAACCAGTCTTAGTTTCATTTATCTAATATAGACAGAGTATAATTCTATTGTATAATTATGTAATATAGTATAATTCTATAATTCTGAAGGACCCTAGGATCTTTTGACTGGAGAATGAGCAATGACCTCCAGTTAAAGTCATCTTAATAAGAAAGTGCTTCGAAGGTTTGAATCCAGCCATGAATTTTCCACCTGAGCTACAAACATTCGAAATGACATTCTTTCTTCAAATGAAATGGCTTTGTGTGGCCACCACCAATAGTCACAGCCAAATCTCTTGGGTAATTTGTTGCAACATTTAGACAGGCACGTGGTCTTTCATCTTGCCCTTGCAGGGCTCTAGCTCTCTTTAACCCTATGGAGGCTGATAAAGGCAAGGCAGGCAGGTGATGCTAGCGGAGGCTGTTAGTAAAAGAGACGTCTCTACGACGTGCACTCTTAATTCCCTTCAGTATTGTTCCTCTTGCATCCATCATTTGTTTAACTTGTATGATGGCCTAGCTTTCAAACTAGGCTTCAAAACATGGGTTTTCCCCATGTTTTCTTCTCTATGCTCAATCATTTTTAACTTTTGATTTAAATTGAGAAATGAACTATTTTTCTTTCCATTCGAACACTTAGAGGTTGTTGCAATGTTATTAATTGGCCTAATTTCAACACTGTCATGTCTTTGAGAATAGAGAGGCCCAAGGGGAGGGAAAGACATGGAAAAATGACTCATTGGACCAGTAGTCAGAACACACACATTTATCAATTGAATGTGCTACATTATATATGGGCAGCTCATGATTCTCCAAAACAATTATAATATTAAAATCAAATGTCACTAATCATGAGGCACCAAAAAAGATGTAACAGTGAAATAAGTTAAAATATTGCAACTGTTATAAAAATGTGAAATAAAGACATAAATTTGGAAAAATGGCAATAGACTTTTTCAATACCAGTTGCCACACAATTTCAATCACTAAAGCAAAACACGAAGTGAAAACTAAATACCCCACACTACATGTGAGATACAATACAGTGTGGCACAGCAGAATGAAGTATGCCTGTAATTATTATTTCCATTTTACACAGTAGCAAAATTCAGTGTGGTTATTTACTTGCTCCAGGTAACAATGTAAATGGCAGAGTTGGCTGTCAACATACTTGTCTGATACATTAAAATTTTTTAAATTTTAAACTTCCATTTATTCTTTGAGAATTTCATGTATGCATACAATGTGCTTTTGATGTTTTTAAAAGCACCTTACCATGTTTATTTTTATTGATCGTTGAAAAGGAATCTTTTAAACAGATTTAGTTTTGTTTTGTGTATATGTGGTGTATGCCTTCTTGTCTGTATGTGTACTGCCTATGTGCATGTTCCTATGGAGGCCAGAAGAGGCTGTTGAAACTCCTGAAGCTGAGTTACAGATGACTGTGAGCCCCATTTTGAGCCAGTGTGGGTGCTGGGGCCCAAATGTGGTCCTCTGCATAGGTAGCTATTGTCCTTAACCCCTGAAAAGGAATCTTTAAATCAGCTTCTAATGCATCAAATAATTTTGTTTGACTTAATCCATTTCTCAGTTTATAAGGCATTAATCTACAACTGCAGCCTGGAAAGGCTTGTCCAAGTTTCCACGGAGATTTCAATCCATGCTAATTTACCTATATGATCTCCCACACCAACTTTAGAAAGAGTCGTGCTTCCTTCTTAGAAGCTGAAGAACATATGGTAGGAGATAAAATGGCTTGCCCAGAGACATGTGATTAGGACTCTGAGTTTGTTGTCCTTGCTTCTGAAGACTTTCTTCCCTTGCAAGAAAATCCGGGAGTGACCCAAGAACTACAAAAGCTGACACAAGTTCTAGAAAACTTAATAGAGCCCACTCAATATGTCTGTTGGGTAATAATACACATTACTGTTTACTCATCTGTTTGTTCTACTAAGTATTTTTTTTATTATCTTTCACTTAGTTTTTACAACACTCTACAGCAATTATTTTATTGCTGTTTTAGAAACATAGACACTGAATGTTATAAATATTAATTTTCTCAAGTCATACAACTGATAGAAATAAGTTACAAATCCAAATATTGTGACTGAAGTTCTACACGCAACCACAAGTCTTATGCTGTTACTATCCTTTTGTAGCCAGCCTTCATGGACCTTCGAGGACACTCTTTGATCAAATTTTTCCTGTTGGTACAGTTCCTTGAAACTTACATGAATAATACTAGATTTGTATTTTCTTAGCAGATCCCCTCTTATAAAATAATTATTTATGTAGTTAGTCTGTTTTTCATGGTAGACATTAAAGTTGTAAGGGATCTGAGCTAGGCAAGTTTTTTTTGTACTCAATCACATCTTGATGAGACCTCTAGTGACTTCTGTATAATTTTCAAATGTGCAGGAGTTCACTCACCGTCTTGGAGGAAGTGAGGATTTTTAACAGAATATGATTGGATTCAGGAAATAAAAAAGGCTTGACAAAAGCTTAAGGAGATTCTTTTTAAAAATACTTTGCATTTTTTGAGAGTTAATTGAAAAATCTAAAGTAATGATAAGGAAAGCCCTCTAAATGCTTTTTGATTCAGACAGTCAGTGAGGGAAATCTTTTATAAAAACCACTGGGAAAGTTAAAGCAAGACAGATGGCTAAAAAGAAGGACAATCTAAATCCACTTTTAATTTGACACTGACAATGCTTTAAGTCATGTCTAATGGTTTTCAGTTGCTCACAGAGTCGTGAACAAAGTCCTTATCAGGACAGTGGGTTTATGCATTGTGTGACCTCTTCTCAAATACTCACCACTTTCTGTTTTTCTAACACTTTGCTATCACGAAGTTAAGTATATTCTGTTTCCTCCGTCTGAATGCAGCTTGATATTCTTTAGGAATGAAAACTTACATTTCAAGCAGTTATACATATTTACTAAATGACTGCTTTGGTCTAATGTAAGGAAGAAATACAGGGCATAGATTGGTAGGTCTTGTCTCAAACTATCTAAATTTAGTCGTGGAAAATATCTTAAAAACTAATAAAAGAAAAAAACAATTTAGGGAACTAATAAAAAAAATCACAAGGCACTGTGTGATGGACATCAAGTGAAGAGCACATACCGTCTGACTTGATCTCTTGAACTTATTCAATGATGTAAACGATCTTCACATTTGGATATAATTCAATCTATGACTGGCCCTTATTCTTTTTATCTGTAGGTAGGAGCTGGGGAGACTGGTTAGTGAAGGTAAGTGGACAATTATGAGAAGGGTGTTTCTATGTCTCCTTCTTCCCAATAGTATTTCCCTGTGTTTGGCCACTGAAGTAGACATATACCACCTAACAAGGAGACCGGAAATTACTGTCCCTGTCCTGGAAGTTCAAGATAGAATTATTTACTTCAATATTTATAGTGGATTTTAAACCTACCTCTGAGCTAGCATAAAGCTTGTTGGGACTAGATTTTAGAATCAGACTAATACAATTTCTGGCTACTTTCATCAGTTTTTATATTCTCACCCTTGTTATTACACTCTTGTAGGGTTTTACACTTTATTTTATGTAAGATATACCTCTATGCTGTGCCATTTTATTTTTTCATTTAAAATATCTTGGAAAACCATTGCAGTGATTTGCATATATCTTCTTTAATCTGTTTTATAGCTGCATAGTATTCCCTGTTGTGGGCGATGCAGAGCTCATTGCCTTATTATCTTATGCATGGGAATTATGTAGTTTCAAATGTCTTGCACCCGCAAACAATTCTAGAAAGCATTTCATCTTTCTCCATACCCAATCTGTAGAAATTTTGTTACATTAGCGTACCTCCACATGAAATCAGGTAGAAACCTGCACAAGTTTGGTGGATGAAACATGACCATGAAATTATAACAAATTTACACAGTAAACAGCTGACATTAAAGCAAACAAACTGACATTAGTGATACTAACATAATAGAGGATGGTATTTATTTGAAATGAAATGGTGTTTCATGACAAGGATTTTGGTAATGATGTCTGTGGTGTGACATCACCTGATAGTTCACACCTCGTACCTCACATACATATATGTCACTTTGGTCAGAGAAGATTTCTTCTCTGCAATGAGCAGTGCACCTGCAGAGACATGTTAGCTTGTCAAATGCTGGGAAACAAGCAAGCATTGAGTGGTCAGCCCTAAATGGGACATCTAGGTCACGCCTTCCAAGGTTCACGGAACATTGTGAAAGAGATATCAGGAAAAAAAGTGAGACCTGGAGGATGGGATGGAATATATGAAATGCTGTCTTCCAGGCATGCTATGGCCTTGAGCTCTTAAACTCAAATAGCTATGGCAACCTGCATGAGTTTGGGCCTGTTAAGATCATCCTGTGTTGTAACAGGGAAGGACTCACAAGGCTCTCCCTCCCCCTGAACATCTCTAGGCACTTAATTGTTGCTGAGGCTGAGAAAGACATTTTCTCCAGAGGTGTCAGCCTGTGACAAGGATCCCATGCCACTGTAATAACTGCTCATTCAAGGCCCTCAAGGAAATACTAATGAAATTCATTGGAACACCCCTTCCACTCCTAAAGACATGAAGTAGGGGACAGGGGACTGGCTGGGAAGATTCAAGGAATGAGCAGGAGAGGGAAGGAACCCACGTGGGTAGTGAGTGAATCTGAGTACCTTACACCACACATGTATGAAAATGTCATGATGAAATCCACTATTTGTACATAGCTTACATATATAAAAAACACGTTAAAACTGTAGGGTAAAGTTAAAGTTACCCTTAAAGAGGAATTTATATCTTAACTACGTATAATAGAATATTGTTATCTTATAACTTAACTATATATAATAAAACAATAGAGGGATAAGTAAGTAAGTGTCCAACTTAAGAGGGTAGAAAAACCCTTGCCCCAGAGGCAGTGTAGGTGTGGCTGCTGTACCACATGTGTGTCAGTAGGAGGCAGGAAAGAAGGAGACTATGTCTCTGCTCATCTGACCTGTGAACATCTGAATGATTAGTAAGCTAGCATTCCATGAAAACAGTGAGGCTGAAATAATCACCACTCTGGCTCCAGGACACTCACACAGGAAGCTAGCCTGAGATGACCGCCAGTCCTGTGCCATGCAGGTCGTGACTGTATCCCAGGGTGGGGAACATGTCAGCACCCACCTGGGACTGCTGTTCTGGGTAGGAGTAAACCCAAGACAGATGAACCTGACAAGGGACAATTCGGATAGCTGATGAGCAAGCACCAGACAACCACCCAGACCTGCTCCATGGGGCCCAGACAGGGAGCTAGCCTGAGATCATCACCAGTCCTGCACCAGGCGGGCCGGGGGCAGAGGGCAGACCATGCCCAAGACGACCCCAGCTCAGTGTCATAATGCATGAGCAGGACATAGCATTCTGGAGACCTTTTCTGAGAGGATCCCAGACCCTTAGAGACCCCAGGAGCACCACTAAGAGGAGCAAGTAGGTGGTGAAGAGATGGAAGAGAAAGAGAAACAGAAGGATGTAGGCAGAATGAAGAGAGGCAGAACTGAAGACTCCACGGTAGTGAGGAACAGCCCTATGCGAGCAGCCAGTGATGTCACCTGGGACCACGATGTGGTCTTGGCTTGTGCTGCCACTGGGGGCTACATCTGGGTTCATGATCTTGCAGCAGCAGGAGTCTGTTACCACCAAAGACCTGGCAGACATTCTTGGTCTGGGCTGCTGTCTGGGTACTTGTTGATGTCTTAGGGCTGTGCAGAACTGCCTCCATCCCTCACCTGGGCATTGTGGGAATGCTGGCTCTGGGGAGTATGAGAGCAGGAGAGCTGACCCTAACCCTAGACTGCTGCAATACTCAGGAGAGCAGCCCCTGCACATTCTCAGAGTTTCAGGTGTACTGGTCCCAAGGATACGAGCATGGGTGAGCTGGCCTTGCTACTCATCTTCCATGTGGTGGCATGGACAAAAAAGAGATACCCTCCTTCTCCGTTGCTCCTCACCATCTGCGGCAGGTGGGAGACCTGGCTTTTGGGTCACGAGGGCAGGAAAGCTAGCCCTGCCCCCTCACCAGCTGCAGCACTCAGGAGAGCAGTCACTCCACCTCACTCGGGCACCACAGTAGAGCTGATTCTGGAGGCACGGTGCAGGCCAGCCAGCTCTGAGAGTGTGAACATGAGAGAGCGCTCCAGCAACTTGTCTGGGGTGTGACTTGTCTGGGAGTGCTTCTCCCACCCTGCCCCTTTCCATCTATGACAGGCAAGAGAGCTGGCCTTGTGGTCATGAGACTGGGAGAACTGGCCATGTCCCTCATCATCTGCAATATTCAGGAGAAGGAACCCTGCACCTTGCCTGGGCAGTGGGGTAGAGCTGGCCTGGTAGTAAAGTGTTGCTGATGAGCAGGCCCTCAGGGCATGAGAGCTGTGAAGCCAGTGGGCTATCTCAGATACCTCTCAGGCCCAGATCCAGGGTTTTGAATTGGCCCACCCAACATCTACCCCATTGATGCTGGAGTGCATGAAGGGGCTGGTTGTAAAGATCCAAAACTGCAGAATCTCTATGACACAGGGCAACGCAGGATACCCGAGAGGGGTCTCAGCGAGATTCCAGTATTGATAGAGTAGCAGAAGCCACAGGTCTCATACCAGACCAACAAGTCATTGCAATAGACATTTGCAAGCAAGGAATTATGGACAAAAGGGTGCACTGTGGGACGTACTGGGACACACTCTAGCTTCCACAACAGGAGTTTTTCTATTGGGAGGAGGTTGCAAGGGTGGAGGTCAGGTGTGAGAGGAAGGGGAGGCGAGTGGGGTTGGGATGCAGGATGTGAAACTCACCAAGAACCAACAAAAGTAAAAAAAAAAAATTAAAAATAATTACAAAAGAGGCACTAAAAAAGACAGCGAAGTCAACACAAAGAGAAAAGGAAGTAGATGAAGCTACTGAATTGATGAATTATGTCAAAGACCACACCACTCTGAATGCAAATTATAAATTACTGCAGAGCAATGCAAAGAGCCAAAAGCTCTCGGGTGTTATCAAATGAATTACAGACAACCTCTAGCTAGATTGAATAGAGAGAGAGAGAGAGAGAAGTATATATGATAGAAGCAGATCTGGAGCTTCACTCCAGATACAGCACAGTGTACCTTTAGAGTTTTGTAAAAGTATATGTTGATGAATTGAAAATTCAGAATGGACAATTTTCTATAAAACTAATTTGTAAATATACAGTAAACTTAAATATTATGCCTACATAAAATACAGCTATATATTTATAATCTATATGAGGGATCTGGAAGGCTGGCATGGTGGCACACACCTTTAATCCAAGTACTTGGGAGGCAGAAACAGGCAGGTTTCTGTGAGTTCAAGGACTGCCTGGTCTACATATCTACATAGTGAATTTCAGGACAGTCAGGGATATGTAAAGAGACCTTGGAGAGAGAGAGAGAGAGAGAGAGAGAGAGAGAGAGAGAGAGAGAGAATTTATAAACCATAACAACACAAAATTAAGATACACTCATGTCATGTAGAACAAGATGATTTTATTCTATGTGACATAGTTGAAGAAAGAATTCAAAATAAGAAAAAAAAAAACCTCTATTTCAATGAAAGAGGAAAAAAGTTTCAGAAATTAAAGAAAGGGCCCTAAAAATGCCTAGGAAAAAACAGGTGGTGAATAAAAAAGAAGCCAGGTGGGATATAGCCCACTGCATGGTTTCCCATCAGAGGGAAGGATACAGAGGCCGCATCCAAAGAGAAGACAGAAAAGACAGGACACTGTCAGTACTCTCTGGCCAAGCCAAGAGCCTAAATGAAGAACAATTAGAAGATGGGGAGACTGGATTTAACCTGCCCTAATCCCATCCATGGTGAGAGACATCCTTGGGAAACAGTTGTGGCAAGTAAGAGGGTCTTTTGCTGACAAACTGCAGTGGAGGTGTCAGGAAGCTTGTCTTAGGTTGTGACAGCCCTGCCAAAACCCAGTATGATCAATGGAAGCTAACATGGAGGTTTGGTTACTCTGAGCCTAAGTTCAAAGGATGGATAAGTCTCTGATGATGCCTCCTGGTCGTTCACTGGCAGACTTCACTGATTTCAAAACCTCAAGATCTTCAGAGACCAAGTAAATCCCTTAGGAGGCCTTGAATCATGAAGGCAGGCTTTCCTTCTATACAGATCTCAGCCCTGTGGTTCCTTTTACTCCCAACACATTTTGGAGACAGTTCTTCCCCAGCTAGAACACTAGCCTTCCCAGCCTGCCACAAAGCTAAATGCAGCCAGCAGAAGTCCCTGGTCCGCAAAGAAAAGAAACTGCTAAGTGAAGGCAGCTCTGCTAGTCTTTACCCACTCTCACTGGTCACTCATGAGTGAGTACATCCTCAGCACCAGCACAAACCCTGGGAGAGTCCCATGCCTACAGCTTCAGCTCAACCTCCTCCTCACCAATTTTCTAAGACCCAGAAAGAAAAGAAGCACCTACATTATTTATTCTCCCTTGTTTCCCCCTTTCTCTTCTAAAAAAATAGTACTTTTACATTATATGTTTTTATTTCTTATTTCCTTCTATGCATCTACTTAATCTTTTTCATTATTAAGCAATCTTTTGACTTTTACTCTTATTTTTTTATCCCCCGTGTTTTTCTCCTCCCTCTCTTCCCTTCATCTGTACTATGTTTCTAATGTTAATTTGATTTTATCTTATCCATTAAAAAAGAGAATTCTTTAATTTTTCTTTCCTTTCTTATATTTATCTAATTTTGTGATCAAACTTCCTTATTACAGGAAATTGTGTGTGTGTGTGTTTCTTTTTTTAAATTTTTTTCTAATTTCTTACTTTTTTTTCTTTCCTGCCCAAAGTTCTTCTCTGTGTCTCCCTTTCTTTTCATTTACTTAATCTTGCTTTTCCTCCATTTTCTTGTTGTCTCATACAGTACTACTATACATACATGCAAATGATGTTTAATATCATAGCAGCTACATTGTATTTTCTATTTTCTGGTTTATGGACATTGGTAATGTATTAGGATGCTTCAATAGATTTTAGTTATATTCCCTTATCTTGAAGTGTTTGCCTCTGTTGCTATTATCCTATTTTGTTTTCTATTTGTGAAGTGGTATTGGGATCAAGACTTTAAACATGACATGCCCAATATGATTATCACTCAAAACTGGAAGAGATATCCAATAGATGCAGAAATCATATCACAGAAACACAAGAAATATCAAAAAGAAAGGAACATGACTCAGTCAAAAGATCACAAGTCCTTAGCTACTGAATTCAAAGACATTGAAATAGGTAAAAATGTTAAAGATTTCAAAAGTTTACCAGTAAAAGTTATCAATGATATCAAAGATGATAGAGGTGAGGAAAATAAAATCAGTCTCAGACCTGAAAGGAAAAAGTAGCTTTAGAGAAAAAAGTCAGCAAAATGGATGGGAAAATTAGCAACAAAGAAAAGATCACCAGCAAGGAAACTACGATTTTGAGGTGTGTGTGAAAGGGTTGGTAATCAAAATCTTGATCAGCCTAACATAAGACAAAGTGGAAAGCATCATGAATAGACTGGATCCAGCAGAACAAAGAATGGCAAAGATGGAGGTCAAGGCCAAAAGATACTATCCTCAAACATCAATTAAAAAAATGAATATGACCACTATATGCACGAACTTGGACATGATGTAGACCAAATATCAAAATCCATGGGACAGAAAATGTACTTGAGACAAACAGTTCTGGTATTGAAAATCTATTTAATGAAATTATAGCATACAGTTGTACAAATCTAGAGAAAAGAATTGGATATCCAAATGCAAGAGGCATTTAAAATCCTAAATAGGTATCACTAGAGAAATCTTTCTCACATAGAAAGATTATCATAGTCAGTATGTCAACAATACAAGGCAAGGAAACAATATTAAAAGTTATAGGGGAAATGCCAACTTGCTTACAAAGACAAATGTAACAGAATATTGTCAGATCTCTTTTTAAACCTTTCAAACCAAGAAAATGTGGAATGATAATTAGTTTCAA